CAACAATTCCATTTTGGGATATATACCCAAAGCAATTGAATTCTAAATCTCAAAAAGATCTGATCTACATTCCCATGTTTAGTGTAGCATTATTCACAATAGCCAAGACATGGAAACAACCTAAATGTTTATCAATTTACAAATAGATAAAAGAAAATGTGGAAACAGGTGGAACAAAAGTAGGTTTACAGTTGTAAATACGAGAAAGTTTATTCTTGTATTATTTATTAATTATTGTATTTTTTATACAAACAACTGTAGACCTACTTTTGCCCCACCCTGTATACAGACAATGTAACATTATTCAGTCTTAAAAAAGAAGGAAATCCTGACATATGAGACAACATAGACCTTGGCGGTATTATGCTAAGTGAAATGAGCCAGACACACAAAAAATAATGCATGATCTCATGTATATGTGAAATCTAAATTACAGTAGTCCCCTCCTTACCTATGGTTTTGCTTTCCAAGGTTTCAGTTACCTGCTGTCAACTGTGGTCTGAAAATGTTAAATGAAAAATTCCAGAAATGAACAATTTATAAGTTTTAAATTGTGCACTGTTCTGAGTAGCTGATGACATCTCACCCTGTCCTGCTTGGGGCTATAAATCATCTCTCCACCGTGCACACTCTCTTGCCTGTTAGTCACTTAGTAGTAATCCCAGTTATCAAGTCAATTGTCATGGAATCATAGTACTTGTGTTCAAGTCACCCTCATTTTACTTAATAATGTCCTCAAAGTCATTCACATAACTTTTATTACAGCATATTGTTAAAATTTTTCTAGTTCATTACTAGTTAGTTATAATTATTCTATTTTATTATTCTACTGTGCCTAATTAATAAACATTATCAGATGTATGTATAGGGGAAAATAGCATACATAGGGTTGGGTGCTTACCACGGTTTTAGGTATCCACAGGGGGTCTTGGAATGTACCCCCATGGATAAAGGGGAACTACTGTGGTCAAACTCACAGAAGCAGAGTAGAATGGCGGTTGCCAAGGGCTGGGGGAGAGGGAAATGGGAGGTGTTGGTTAAAATACACAAAGTTTTAGTAAATAAATTCTGGAGATAATTGTTTTAAAAATTAAAAAAAACCCCACCAGGTCACAGAGCCACCCCATAGACTGAAGCAGCGTTCAGCAAGGGAGTAGGTCTGAGCATTGGTTTTGAATATCTGCGTGAGAACAGTTTTTATTTTCACTTATTTGTAGGAGCATGGGCTCTAAAATGAGACAAAATTAACTTTACTGTTCATGTGTTATTTACTGGCTGTGAGCAAGTTAATTTCCTCTCTCTTGGTCTGTCTCTCTTGTTAACATCTCTTTACTGTGAAAAGTGAATAAGGTAAAGAAGTTCTCAGCACAATGCCTAGCTCCTGTCACACAAGAAATGTTCATTAAAAAAATTACATAAATTAGCTGAGATCTGAGTACCTTCAAGCCTGCTGAAACTGGACTAGCGAATCACGGGTAGGGCGACATAGCTGGACTTGGTAACGCCCACAGGGGACGTAGAGACACACGGGACATTAGATGTCAGGAAGGGACATAAAGATATAAGACATTTTCAGACTTGTTAGTAAAGCCTTAGAAAAAGCTAGCTTCTTTAAAAAATGATTTTAATTATCTCGTGTATCCTCAAAACTAATATCCTCTGGCTAGGAATCATCTTTGCATACTTTCCTTTGTGTGATAGATTAGTGTTGCCTGACATGTGAGCCACCGTTCTACCCCAGCCCTGTAAATGAGACTACCCTCGGCTGCAGCTGCGGAATGCAATGCGTAGAAGTTGCTAGGGTGGCCAGACAGTCCTTCGTTCGCTTCTTTTTATAGCTGTGCTTCAGGATATGCCACAGTGGCTCAGCGGCCTGCATTCCACCCCATGCGCAGCATTTCCTCAGAAGAACCATTGTGATGTGATCTTTGTCTCTACTTCACTGATTTGGTTTGCAATAGGAGTAGTATTTAGAAGGCTACTT